GAATTCAGACATAACATTCATACAGCCCCTCACAAGAGGCTTGGCCCATTTTCTCCTCCTTTCACCTCTTTCCTGCCTTCCCTGTTCTAGTGTGTTCATAACCAGAAACCTTGGAAATGTTCCATGCTAGGTTGGGCGGTGACTTGCCAGGTCTACAGAAGAGGGATCATTCATGATGAATGGCTGGGCCAGAAATCAGTAGCAATTTATTATTTGATCAATCTTTCAAAAAAGCAAAAGCAGTTTTTCAAAAGGCGGCTAATAAAGAAGCCCAGTCATTAGATGACTAAGCACTTTAGATGCTCTCTCTCGTTGGATGTGAGAGCCATGTGTCCCCAGTGAATGGATGTGTACATACAGTGACCTGCTAAACACCCAAGGTGTCTATGTCCACACTTGGAAAACTGCTGGACATGTCGATTTTTTTTTTTAACATTCCTAAAACAGCCAGGCACAGTGGCACAGACCTGTGATCATAGTGATTTGGGAGACTGAGGCAGGGGGATCATGAGTTCAAAGCCAGCCTCAGCAACTTAGTGAAACCCTGTCTCAAAATAAAACATAAAAAGGGCTGGGGATGTGGCTCAGTGGGTAAGTCCCCCTGGGTTCAATACCTGGTATTAAATATATATTAAAAAAAAAAATATATATATATATATATATTTTTTTTTTTTAATTCCCCAAAACATTTGATGTCTGATGTCTTTACAGAAAGTTTAGGAGAATAAAAAATGACCTCGTAAAGCACAGCTTGAGGGAGATATGATCTGACCGGTGGACTTGTGTTTCAGGTGTCTCCATGTGAGTGGTGCCTCTGTGAAGCCAATGGTGAAGTGCTCTGCACAGTGTCGGCTTGTCCCCAGACAGAGTGTGTGGACCCCGTGTATGAGCCTGACCAGTGCTGTCCCATCTGCAAAAATGGTATGTGGAATGCCCGTCAGTGACAGGGTGCACCTCCGAGTCCACCATGCATTCTACTCTCTACTTCATGGTAGAAGGAACGTGTATGGATATCTGAGCTTAAATAGAAGTGTCCACACATGCACAAGCATGTGTATGTGACCTTCAGGTCACAGGGTATGGTTGGGACTTGCTGTGTATCAAGGCATTCCCTGTCTTATTGGTGACAGCCCCATTTTTATGGATGTTAAGAAATTCTTAGGGAAGAAATTAAATTTCCACTATCAACGAGAGTCACTTATTTTAATTTAGCATTGTTTGTTCTTGCAAAGCTGTTTCTTTCTTTCCAAGACAAATCAAACATGCTGGTTGAGCTCATTTACTTTTCATTACTAAGTGAATTAAACTTGGAACATAATTGAATATTTTTCATAAGCAAATTAGGCAGGGAGAGAGACTCCGGTTCTCAGGAAGAGCCAGTGGTTGATCAGAAGCCATGCCTGCTTCATGAAAAGAAATGGCAAGATGCCCTTAGTGCTGAATTACCATGGACAGGTATTTCTTTTTCTGAATAACTAGGACTCTGTACCTGAGTCACTGGGCATCATTCTCCACGAGGGAATATAATGAGAGCCAGAATGGGTGAGAAGTATGGCTCAAGAGGGAGATTTGGCAAGGAGAAGAGAGTACCTTGGAAGAGAGCAGAATCAGGAATCACAGCTGCCATCTTCGGAATCTGATTGTTGTGTGTGACAAGAGGGACTGGGTTTTCTAGATGTCAACACATGGTGTATGCTTCTGGTACTCTGTGTGGGAGCATTTTGGGCTAACTTGTGTCCTCTGCCTGCTGGACCAAGGCCTGATGACCATGTGATAATGGGCTTTGTAAGTTGCAGGCAAGCTCTGGGAGCATGGTTTACCCAGGTGTTAATGCTGTCCTTGGCAACTCTGTGAATCTGCAGTCATGCCAATCATACATGGATCGGGAAGTACCGTGGAAGTCTTTGACTGGGTACATACACCCAAATTGCACCACAAAGCATTATAACACACTTCAAATATGTAATCAAATCAGGAAATGAAGTATCTTTTGAGAACAGGCTTGACAAAGCACAACTGTTGTAGTAGGAATGCAATAATTACCAGGTTACTATGTGTATAGTCCTCTAAATACAAGTGGACAGTGACTAAGAAAAAAGGCACAAAGTGTAGTTCATGAGGGGTTGGCTGTTCTTTAGTGCATGTTTATTATGAAGAAACCATGAGGATAATTCCATAAAATGAGAATGTGAAACTTTGGACATAGAGTATGTTCTTTTAAAAAATGATGTTGAAAAGTTACAGTAAGGTAGAGGGGACATCAATTATAGTTTATATTACTAGCATAAATTGGGAATAATGGGATGGGGTGGAGTTGGGGAAGGAGAAGCAGGTAGAGGCCAGGGGAGTCTCCTTGGGGTTGGGACGTGACAATACAGTAACACTGTGAAGAGTTTTGGCCTACACCTCAGGACTGTTGGGAGACAGTGAAGATAGGATTCTCATATAGTTCCCTGTGTGGAGAACTGGGACCAGAGAATAACTCCTCACTGAGTCAGATGAGATTTAGCTAATGATTTAAACACTGGTGGCTGAAATACTTGGCATTTTAAGTGCCCAAAATATTTCATACTTTTCTTGGTTAGTTATGGTTAGAAACCAGTTTTGGCGTTAGAGAGTCATGGATGGAATCCTAATTTGGAACAATAGGTAGTAAACCAGAATTTCAGTCCTTGGGTCTGTTTTATCTGCCTTTCCCAGTAGAAAAATTTCAGACCAATAGAAAAGCTGAAATAATTATACAATGAGTAATTATATACCCTTCTCTATATTTGCCTCTTGTTGATGTTTAGCCATATTTGCTTCCTTTGTCTTTTCACCTCACAACCCAGCTCTGAAAACCAGTACCATCAGTGTATTTACTCATTTGTTCTGTCCCATAATATGCAGAGTAACTTCTATTTACCCTACCACAACATGAATCCTAACCAGTAGAGATCAAGAGTTCTTTGCAGTTCTTTTATCCTAGTTAAGGTACAGGATCAGAAAATATTTGAATTAATTCTTTGTCATGTTAAAATTTATGAAGATATAATTTATTTCTGTTTGCATTCAACTTTTGCATCATTTAAGGTATCATTTTACTTATTTATTTATAGGTACTGGGGATTGAACCCAGGGACAGTCAATCTCTGAGCCATATCTTCAGTCTTTTTTTATTTTATTTTATTTTATTTTATTTTATTTTATTTTATTTTGAGACAGGGTCTTGCTAAGTTGACCAGACTGGCCTTGACCTTGGAATCATACTTCCTCAGCTTCTCAAGTCACTAGGATTATAGGTATACACTACCATGCCTGGCAAGTTTTATTTTGTGTGTAGGCAAAATGTGTTTGAAAGTGTGTTTTATTATTGGATTGATGGTTTAGGAAGAGAGTAGAAGGCAATCCACCCTGATGATAAACTTCCAAGTGTTCACCCTTCACCTTTATAGTTTGAGAAACAGCGCAGGTCAAAATTAGACGTGGTTTTTATGGCGAAAGTTGAGAGATTTCTTAGAAGGATGAATATTTTTAAACTAGATTTGTATTACATAAGGCTTTGTATTAAGAGACTTGAGCCCATTTTATCAAAACATCCACCAGTTTTTATTTTCAAGACTATAACTAAAAATAAGTTGGAATGTATTTAATTATGTACATATTTTGAAATTTTTTTCTGTTTACCAGAGAGAACTTGGCTTTAAGCTGTATCCAGTTGTCGGGTACTCTGACTTTGATGGGACAGATCAAGTGTAGAATTTTGAGTACAAGTGATTTGCTCAAAAATGAAAGCTGATTCTGTCAGAAGTGAATGCTCTGTAGTAATGGACTGAGGTTAATGAATAATTTACAGTAGTCCAACCCTGCCACCACACACACACACACACACACACACACAAACAAATAATGTTTTTATATAAAAAATTCTATCTGAATATTGAAAATTAGGATACATCAAAAAAAGAGATGCTTTATATGAAACTAAGTTCGAGGATAGACTTAGCTTGGATGAAGTACCAAGGTTCTAACTCTTGATCTCTGCAGACCAGCTCTCCTCCTCATGTCTTGACCTATGACATTAAATAGCTTTTTCTCCCAATCGAAGGAAAATTACAGTTCACTGTGAGCTGCCAAAGTCCCTTGCATCAAAGGAGCAAAAGTTTGAAATGAAGAATGTCTTGAATATAAATAAATGATCACAAATCAAATACCGTTTAATATATTCACTTTGCTGACTTGTGTAGATCAGTCTCCCAAGGTTTTTCTTTTGATAAAATGGATGTTCCGTGGTTGAGCTTGTTTTTTGTTGTTGTTATTTGTTTTGTTTTATTCTCTTTTTCTTCCTCCACAATGATGTAAACAGCGAGTATTATATTGACTTTCAAGGATTCAGGTTTTCTCTGGAGATTGATGTACTTCAGAAGTTCACAGCACCCTTTCCATTTAAGCCCCTGGATCTCAGATGTGCTTGTCAGCACTAAGTAAGCCTGAGGTTCCCATTAGTGATCAGTAGGCCTCCGTTTGGCATGTATACAGCCACCTTACTTTATGGATACCAAGGAAGAGAACCGATAAAAAGCAGGAATCGATGGTGTAATATGAACGCAATTTTAGCTATGCGTCTCAAAGGTAGAAGATGGTACCTAAGGGGCGTGTGATGTATACCAGCAGCACAAAGGCACTGGATACAAAGATTACATCTCTCCCAAAGGTCTCACTGCTACTTGATGATAGTTATTTGAATCTTTATTTTCATAGGAAAATAAATATAGCTGTTTGGGGAGGAAAATAAAAAACATTTATAAAATTGATAAGGTGAACAATGAGCTTTCAAATGAGTAGATGTACTGCTATGGAAATTATGTGATAAGCACTGACTGAGAATTAAGCAAGAATTTTCTTTTGGTTGTTTGTTTTCTTGTGTATCTCAGAGAAGGATAAGTTCATAGTTAAAATTTATGGAGTGAGTTCAACAAAACCAAATGGGATGCTTATGGGTGGGTGTGGGTGTGTTTCAGATCAAGATTCTCTCATAAAAGCCTCCTCGTATTTGGCCTTACCATGGAATACTTCCAAAATTTTCACCAAGGAAATAATATCGATCATAAAGGGACACTCATCATTATTTATAGATGATATGATTGTGCCCATAAGAAATAAAGGAATTCCCAAATATCAAAATAAATAGTTAATTGTAGTAAGGTTGTTTAGCAATGTTTAATAAAAAGCTGTATTTCTATATGAGTACAAAAAATGCATTAAAAACTACAGTTTCAAATAACATTATGCATATTAGATTAAATAAATCCAACTAAATTTTGTAAGATCACTACAGTTAAAAATCATAAAAGTTTTGTTGAGAAATTCAAGAAGCCCTGAGGAAAAGGTGGCATACAACATATTCACAACAGACTCAATAATGTAAAGAAGTCAAGCTGATGCAAATTTGCCTATTGATTGAGCGCAAGTCCAGTAAAAAATTTTAATGATTATTATTACATTTTTGTGCATGGAAAATACCAGATTGGTTCTAAACTCCAAATTGGAATATAAGAGTTAAAAGTAGCCCAGTGAAATATTGAAAAACAGTAAGCCTGGAAAGTGTATATGACGAGAGAGAGATTAAGACTCAAAGTCACAATAAATAACATACTGCAATATGTTCTAAATGACTGACAAATGGAGCAGAATTGAGTTGAAAAGACCTGTGTATGTAAGATCAGCAGCTTTATGTCTAAGCTGATACTGCAGGATAGTAGGCAAAAGAGTAGTCATTCCAATGATTGGTGTTCAACCACAAATAGGTAAATAAATTCCCTACAGATTACAGATTTAGATATTAAGGCTAATACAATAATGCTTTTAGAGGAAAACACAGGAGAACATCTTCATGATTTTGCCTAGATGATGATTAATTTTAAAAGAACA